AGAAAGAAAGAAAGAAAGAAAGAAAGAAAGAAAGAAAGAAAGAAAGAAAGAAAGAAAGAAAGAAAGAAAGAAAGAAAGAAAGAAAGAAAGAGGAATACCATGAGTCATCTGCGTATGTGTGGCAGATAGGGCAGTGATTAGGGCAGCGATTAGGGCAGCGATTCCTTGAAAATGTGAGGGGGGTTGTATCCTTTTACCCAGAAACCCAAGAGTGTCCTGCACCCGATCAGGAGGGGTACTGAGAGCACAGTAGGATCTTTGAATGTATCCTCCCTCCCAAGAATCAAAGGATACCATCAGATTTAAAGTACACAACCCTGTTTTTCATTACCCCCTTTCCCAGTTGGAAATGCCACCATTAGAGTGCTCCATTCTATCCCAGGCATACAGGAGTGATGAAGTTGGGTTTTGACTCAGTTACATTACAGTCAAAGTCTGCCCAAGCTTTCATTCCTGCTTCTCCCTTGTCATGAAGCTGCTAAGATTTCAGTGGCATGTAGAGAGGCAATTAGCAGAGGAATTCCTTCACTGATGTGAATGGGGAAGGGTGCACACACCCAACCATCGGAAGCATTAACTTCTCTGGTATATTGGGCTTCTGGTGTGGAATTATGGCAGGCTGATGCTCTCCAAGGCATGGAGAGCCACCGCAGCTGAGAATGCCGTCTGGGAGGCAGATTCTGGCTGGAACAACTGCCTCATAGAATAAAAAAAGATATAAAATATTTGCCTATAAATCTTTGGGTAAAGAATTTATTTCAGCAGATATTAAAAAGAAAAATGGAGTTGTTTGTATAATAACCCTCAACTAAACCCAGAACATGTATTAACTGATGGACATGGTAGATTTGTTGCAGCAGAAGCCAATTTATATGGGGTTAAAATGATGGTCCTTGAAATGAGTTTATGCCCCAAATGAAGATAGTGACTTTTTATAAGCAACTTATAAATGGAGTTTTCTTATGAAAGTTGATGTTTGATGGGGGATTGAATTGGAGTGCTTTCCCCCAAATGGACAGAACTTCTGAGAAAGATATTAAAATTATTCAGGGTAAATTACCAGTAAGTTTTTTTTTTTTAACTTGATGGACAATTTAGGGTTGGTTGATGTATGAATGGTAGTTCAAGAGAGTCAACCTATTTTCTAGAAAGACATAGATCTGTTTCAAGAATAGATATTATTTGTATTTCAAATGATTTGGCTACTAAAGTTTCTAAGGTAGAGATTTTACCTAAAACTTTTTCAAATCATAATCCTTGCATCTGGCTTATAAAAGAACATCTAGAACTTTTAGATGGAGACCAAATTAAGTGCAGTTACAGAATGATAAAATTGTTGAGGACTGTAAAAAGAAACTAAAAGAATGTTTTGAAAATAATTTAAATAAAGGCACTGATTTGAGAATGTTTTGGGATGCAAGTAAAACCTTTATCAGAGGTTATCTGATACAACATAATTCTGAACTTAAAAAGAAGAGGCAAGACAAAATAGAACCTATTTTGGATGAAATAAAAAGGAAAGAAGCATTAAGGAATTCCCCAAAGAATACAGGTATCTCCCAACAAATTCAGATTTTACGGCAGCAGTATCTACGTTAACAATAAGAGAGATGGAAATAAAGCTGAGTTACACAAAGCGAAGACATTTTGAATTTGCAAATAAACCAGGGAAATAATTGGCTTACAGACTGTGACATAAAAGAGAAAAGAAAACGATATTGAAATTACAAGAGGGAGATACTGTATTAATGGATAATGTGGCTATATAAAAACATTCTATCAATATTATTCTAATTTGCATAAGGGACATGACATTCTGTTGGAGAAAATAGATGAATGTCTCAGAAAACAAAATTTACCAAAGATTGCCGAAGAACAAAGATA